ATCATGGCTCAATCAGCAGGCCTCAGCTCTGACCACCTCCTGTCATGTCACCTTTGCTCAACTGTCTGGACCCTCTGGACCACCTGGACAACACATCACGTAGGTCACATTTTTACAAACTTCATATCAATTCATCTGCAATCAATCCTACATTCATAATGCACTTTATACTTTTAGATTCACTCTTTTTGCTGCTGCAATGGTATGTCACCATTTTCTTCTGCTGTACCGCCTTTAAATCCATATTAAATTTTAAATTACATTTAATTACAGAAACTCATCACACAATAGTCTTCATTTTTATTCAAGTTAGCATATCTTACTTCTCAATTCATTTTCATTTCATAGATTCTGCTAATTTACTATTTACTATTACACACAAAAACTCTAAAAGATTATACCACTAATCCTCTTCTCTATAAATGCAGCTGGAACCCTCCACTTCCTCTTTGGCAGTCGTCCCTTCCACCTCCAACTGACTGGACCGGACCGGACCGGACCGAACGCCGTGGGACAACCATCTGCTGGTAACTATTGCTTAACATATCAACACATTGATTAGATTTTGTGTTTAACGTGTCAGGCCACATTTTCATTCTTAACATCTTATTTATATGTGTAAAGTACATTCTTTTCTTTGCTAAAGAAAATTCATGCTTCAACTAAACCACTATTCTAGCTTAGTTACACCTGTTTGTGATTCTTCAGTAGTGGAAACTCCAAAGATACACTTGTGTTTGAACAAATTTAAAATGTCATGCAGTAAAAAGTTGCTTTAAATTTGCAAACAAATCCAACATAACAGTCTTACAAAAGTAGTTCTTGTTACGTAGCAGACTTGTACGATGATGTAAGACACTAGTGAAATGCTGTTGTTTGTAGAAATTTGTTAGTGCAGGTTTTTGACTGAATGATGCCACACCTTTGATTGTACAAGTAAAATTTCAAGGAACAAGGACTTCAAGCAGGGACCTTAGGTAGCTGAAAAATAGCAATACAAAGAAGGCATTTAGATCAGACTTGAAGTTCAGTTATCCTTGACTTGGCACTTGTAAATCCATCATATATCATAATAAATAATAATAATAATTCAAATTTCATGCAGTAACAAGCTGCTTTAAATTTGCAAACACATACAACAGAATACTCTTCAAGCATGGTAACCGTCTTGTGGAGAGGCCGCTCCAGATAAGTTGGTTTGCTGAGACGTTTTCCTTGATCATCTAGAGCTGATTCACTGATGAGCAATAGAAGCTTTCTCACACATCCATCCTTACCCAGATATACTTCAGTGACCTTGGCCAGTTTCCACTCATTCCGTGGTGCAGTGTCGTCTTGCACAATCACTATATCATCGACCTTTGCATTTCTGCGCGTCTTTTGCCATTTTTGTCTCTGTTGCAGGTTTAACAGGTACTCTTTCTTCCATCTAGACCAGAACTCATTGGCTAAATGTTGCACCTTACGCTATCTTTTGTCAAGATACAGGTCTTCCTTGACGAACTCTCCAGGTGGTGACAAGAGTACTGAAGACTTCATTGTCAGAATATGATTACGTGTAAGAGGCTGTGGCCCAGCTGGATCATTGAGTAAGTGAGCTGTTAAAGGTCTGCTGTTTATGATTGCCATGACTTCGTAAAGGTAAGTTTGCAAAGATGACCCATCAAGCCTTCTGGATGACTGATCCAGAATAGATGTCAGCACACTTCTTATTCTTCTGATTTGCCTTTCCCAGGCTCCACCCATATGGCTGGCAGATGGAGGGTTCATGACAAACTCACAGTCTAGGTGCTTAAGGCCCTCTTGGTCCATCTCTTTTACAGCTTCCAGGAATTCACGTCTAGCACCAACAAAGTTAGTGCCCTGATCAGACTGAAGTTGTCCAACGTTTCCACGTAAGGCAATGAAGGCACGAAGAGCATTAATGAAGGCATCAGTCGTCGTGTCGTCGAGCAGTTCAATGTGCACAGCACGAGAGCACAGACAGGTAAACAGCAGACCATACCTCTTCAGCTCCCTTCTGCCCTCCTTGACATAGAATGGGCCAAAACACTCCATCCCACAATATGTAAAGGGAGGAGTTGTTTCCATGCGTTCAGGGGGTAAGTCTGCCATTCTTTGTTGCTCTGTACACCTTCTCAACTTTCTACACCTGACACACTTGTAGATGTAGGACGACACAGCATGACTACATCCAAGTATCCAGATGCCGTTTGATCGCAGCTCATTCATTGTTATACCACGCCCTTGGTGTTGCACCCTTTGATGGTAGTGCTTGATCAACAACTTTGATATGTGACTCGTCCTTGGCAACACTGCTGGATGCTTGATGTGCGGATGCAAAGCAGCGTGCTCTAGTCGACCTCCCACCCTGAGGATTCCTTGCTGGTCCAAGAAAGGATTCAGTTTATGCAGCCTGTAACAAGGGATTGTTACCATCTCCTTACCGCACTGAAGACGCTTTATTTCCTTCCAGAAGGTTGCTCTTTGGACCTTGCCTATGATAGTAAGTTCTGCATCCTTTCCCATTCGAGACTTGTGGCTTCATTGGTTCTTGATGTCAAATCTTTCATCTCTTTGACACGTCGTACAAGTCTGGCAACGGCTCTGACTAAACTGTCCCAACTAGAAAACTTCAGGAAGCGATCAAGCAGTGAATCTTCTATTGTCGAGGTCTTGTGTGCGAAAGCTTTACCAACTTTTAGGTCTTCAACTGCTATGTCTCCCACCTTAACATCTCCGCTGGGAGGCTCTTCACACCACAGAAGTTCTGGACCAGTAAACCAGTTAGAAGCAATGAGCTCTTTAGCCCTGAGGCCCCTTGACGCATGATCAGCGAGATTTTCCTCAGAGGGCACATGTCTCCATTGACTTGAACTGGTACTTTCCTTCATACGCTGGATGCAGTTTGCCACAAAGACATCAAATCGTCTGGCATTGTTATTGACGTATCCAAGGACCAACTTTGAGTCTGTCAAGAAAATCTCCTGGGCACTTTCTATTTCCAGCTCCTTCCTGAGCAGATCACTAGTACGGACAGCAACAACAGCTGCTGACAGCTCAAGTCTTGCTACAGTGGTGACCTTTGCGAGGGGCGACTCTGGCCTTAGCCATGACTAGAGAACAGTGGATTTGTCCTGATGCACTGATTGCTCTCAGGTAAGTACACACTCCATACCCTGTGACACTTGCATCGGAGAAGTGATGGAGTTCATATCTGCGCCAACATACTTGCGTAGGTAGCAGACTTTTTAAATTGTTAAATGAACTTAAATTGTATGACTATCTCTAATGGCAGCTACACTCCCACCAAATCACCTGTGATTTCTCCAATGAACTTAAGTGTAGGATTCAAATAAGAACATCCTGAAAGAATAGAAAAGAAAGGTAGACAGACAGCTGCACTACTCGGCTTCAAGCAGGGTAACCGTCTTTTGGACAGGCTGCTCCAGATAAGTTGGTTTACTGAGACGTTTTCCTTGATCATCTAGAGCTGAGTCACTGATGAGCAATAGAAGCTTTCTCACACATCCATCCTTACCCAGATATACTTCAGTGACCTTGGCCAGTTTCCACTCATTCCGTGGTGCAGTGTCGTCTTGCACAATCACTATATCATCGACCTTTGCATTTCTGCGCGTCTTTTGCCATTTTTGTCTCTGTTGCAGGTTTAACAGGTACTCTTTCTTCCATCTAGACCAGAACTCATTGGCTAAATGTTGCACCTTTTGCTATCTTTTGTCAAGATACAGGTCTTCCTTGATGAACTCTCCAGGTGGTGGCAAGAGTACTGAAGACTTCATTGTCAGAATATGATTACGTGTAAGAGGCTGTGGCCCAGCTGGATCATTGAGTAAGTGAGCTGTTAAAGGTCTGCTGTTTATGATTGTCATAACTTCATAAAGGTAAGTTTGCAAAGATAATCCATCAAGCCTTCTGGATGACTGATCCAGAATAGATGTCAGCACACTTCTTATTCTTCTGATTTTCCTTTCCCAGGCTCCACCCATATGGCTGGCAGATGGAGGGTTCATGACAAACTCACAGTCTAGGTGCTTAAGGCCCTCTTGGTCCATCTCTTTTACAGCTTCCAGGAATTGACGTCTAGCACCAACAAAGTTAGTGCCCTGATCAGACTGAAGTTGTCCAACATTTCCACGTAAGGCAATGAAGGCACGAAGAGCATTAATGAAGGCATCAGTCGTCATGTCGTCGAGCAGTTCAATGTGCACAGCACGAGAGCACAGACAGGTAAACAGCAGGCCATACCTCTTCAGCTCCCTTCTGCCCTCCTTGACATAGAATGGGCCAAAACACTCCATCCCACAATATGTAAAGAGAAGAGTTGTTTCCATGCATTCAGGGGGTAGGTTTGCCATTCTTTGTTGCTCTGTACACCTTCTGAACTTTCTACACCTGACACACTTGTAGATGTAGGACGACACAGCATGACTACATCCAAGTATCCAGATGCCGTTTGATCGCAGCTCATTCATTGTTATACCACGCCCTTGGTGTTGCACCCTTTGATGGTAGTGCTTGATCAACAACTTTGATATATGACTCGTCCTTGGCAACACTGCTGGATGCTTGATGTGCGGATGCAAAGCAGCGTGCTCTAGTGGACCTCCCACCCTGAGGATTCCTTGCTCATCCAAGAAAGGATTCAGTTTATGCAGCCATGACGCATGATCAGCGGTATTTTCCTCAGAGGGCACATGTCTCCATTGACTTGAACTGGTACTTTCCTTCATACGCTGGATGCGGTTTGCCACAAAGACATCAAATCGTCTGGCATCGTTATTAAGATTGAACTGTCTGCAACAACAGCTGCTGACAGCTCAAGTCTTGCTACGGTGGTGACCTTTAAGGGAGCGACTCTGGCCTTAGCCATGACTAGAGAACAGTGGATTTGTCCTGATGCACTGATTGCTCTCAGGTAAGTACACACTCCATACCCTGTGACGCTTGTGTCGGAGAAGTGATGGAGTTCGTATCTTTGAACTTCCTTGAAACCTGTTGGGAGGTAACATCGCTGAATCTTGACATCTGTTAGATTCTGTAAGTCCAACAGCCAAGACTCCCATTGTGGCCGCAAGTCATTAGACAGAGGTTCATCCCATCCCATCTTGTCTCGGCACATCTGTTGAAGTATCTGCTTCCCAACAACAATGAAAGGTGCTAAAAACCTGAGTGTATCGTAGATAGAGGCCACTGTCGACAAGAGTCCTCTTCTAGAGATCGGATGTTCGTTTACAATGACCCTGAATAGGAATTGATCTGAAGAGACGCACCATTTCACACCTAAGGCTCTCTCAATCTGCTGCTCACCCAAGGCTAAGTCTTGATGTCTTATTGTTTCAGCACAATCTTCCCTGGGAATTGATGCAAGCACTTCCCGACGATTTGAAACAGACTTATGGATTCGCAGCTTGCCAGTGCTGCAGAGCTGTCTCACTTCACTGACTAACTGTATCGTGAGTCAGGCCATCATCCACGTAAAAGTTTCTTTCAATGAAGCGGATGGATGCTTCACCAAAGCCACCTTGTCCTTGAGTGCCAATGTGTTTCAGTCCATAGTTTGCACATCCGGATGATGATGCTGCCCCGAACAGGTGCGCTCTCATTCTATAAACTGATGGCTGGGATTGAATGTCTCCATCATCCCACCACAGAAATCTCAAATAGTCTTGGTCTTCTGCTCTGACATGAAACTGATGGAACATACATTCAACATCGCACATGATTGCTACCGGACCCTTACCAAACCGACAGAGAACACCCACCAGGGTATTTATCAATTCTGGCCCAGTAAGCAGATCATCGTTCAGTCACATGCCTTGAAACTTTGCAGAGCAATCCAGCACGACCCGTACTTTTCCTGGTTTCTGGGGGTGATACACCCTATCGTGAGGGATGTACCAGGCAGGGGTCTTGTCCATTTCTTCATCTGGAACCGTCCCTACAAGCAATCGTTTCACTCATGTAAGATAGGTAATCCTTATGGTATTGCTTGTCTCTCTCAAATCTCCTTCTCAAACATTTTAGACGCTGATCTGCACATTTCTTCTTGTCCGGCAGATCTGGCCTGGCTTCCTTAAATGGCAAGGGCATTTCACATTGACCATCTGCATTGATCTTGATTCCTTCCTCCATTGTTGATATGGAGCGCACATCCTCTTGAGAGAAGTGAGCATCCGCAGCAGCCCTTTCATTCAAGTCAGACTCAAGCATCTTTATCACATCAGGTGCCATGACTAATTCCTTGACTTGTGTTCGGCATATGTATCCAACTTCACTAGTCACACAAGCAGGAGACTACAGACAAGGTACTACTTGCCTGACAACAACCTGCTTCCAAGTGCATCGCCATAGTCTACACAAGGATTGACACAGCCGACTATACTCCAGCCAAGGTCTGTTCTTTGGGCAAATGGCTCATTGTTTTTGCCTGACACAACTTCTCTGGGTAACAGGGCTTGAGAACACTTGTAACCTATGGGCATACCAACATCACATTCCATCAAAGGAGCAATTTCTTCCGCAAGGTGCTCTAGGTGAGGCCATGCCCTTGCTGTCTTTGGAGTAGGAATGTGACTTAAATTGGCAGGAATTAATTCTCTTCAATAGGTTACTGGGAGAGGGATTTTCTTTCATGAGTAGAAACCTCTGACCTGCAGCCCAGTTAGCTTCTGACTTGGAACGACTGTGCTTCTGGATGACAACGTGGAGAGTTTTAATCGTACAGGCTTCTTCTGTGTGTCAAGAGTGTCTGCCTTATCTTGCAAGATGAAAGTGGTGTCACTTTGACTGTCCAAAAGTGCATATATGACAGTTTAATTCTCTGGGTTACTTATCGTGGACAACCACACTGGCATAACTCTGGATGTGTGAGTGCTGTCCATGTCTTGCACCGCTCGGTTAGAGGTTGCTTCATTTGGCGTTTCGTCAGTCTGTTTAGACTCCACATTTTCCTTTAACCTTTCTTTCTCCTTTGAGTGTTTCCCACTTTCCTTCCGCTTGTCATCTTTAGCACAATCTGCATGTAAGCATGTTGGGTGCTTCCTGGTACATGTGTCACAGACACTTCTCTTTTCATGGTTCCTTGACTGGTGTCCTGGTTTCAGACATCCAAAACACAATCTTTTTGTTTGTACAAATTTTACTCTTTCTGTGATTGATTTGTCCATGAATTTTCCACATGTGTGAATGCCAT